GCTCCCTCACCCTGGGATGAACTCCTTGGTTTTAAAGAGTTCAGGTTGTTACTAAGCAAAATGACTCTTTCCGACTGAGCAGAAGTTGACGCTAGGTGACTTCCCTGCAGGAGTTTGGCTTTATATTCTGGAACCATCTAGCCTGATTGGGACTTTGCTCCTCTCAGTGTGGCCCAAGGAACAGCAGCATTGGTGTCACTTGAGTGAGGACTTGTTAGAAGTGCGAATTCTCTCCTAGCTTGGCTGGGCACACCTGTGATCCCAACCACTCAGGAGCACAGGCAGGAGGATTGAAAGTTCAAGGCCAGCCTCAGCAACTTAGAAATCTTGGGGAGAGGGAGCTGTCTCAAAGTAAAAAATAAAAAGGATTTGGGGTTTGGCTCAATGGCTTACTGACTCTAGCTCAATGACTCTAGGTTCAATCTCCAGTACAAAACAAAAAAAAAAAAAAAGAAAGAAATGCAAATTCTCAGGCCCCACCTTAAATCTACCAATCAGAGACTCTGGGAGGGGTGCCCAACAGTGTGTGTGTTAAAAATCTCCCCCAGACGATTCTGATGCTCCGTAAAATTTAAGAAGGCTGCTGTGGACCACCGCATCCCACTCACTGGTCCACAGATTGGCTGCATCAGAATTACCTGGGGAACCGCAGCAATCTCACCCCCAGAGATTTTTTATTTCAGTAGATCTGGGGTGCATTGCAGATTGACTGGCATATAAAATATAGGACACCCAATTAAATTTGAATTTCAGATAAACAACGAATAATTTTTTAGAAGTATGTCCCAAATATGAAATTCATGAAATTCAAATTTAATTTAACGAGGCTTCCTCTGTTTTTATTTGCCAAGTCTGGCAACCCTCGCTAGAGAGCTGACTTCTAACAAACTCCTCAGTGGAAGTTTTGACCAGGTTTGACCTACATCCTCTTCTGTCCTTCAGATGTTTGAAGCTGGGGTTTCTGGCCACCTGTATGTTCCCATACTCTCCCGGTCCAGGTGGGACATTTTCGTTGGTGTAGCTGGAGACTGCACGCACTTCTGACAGCTGCATCCTGCTATCGACTCACATCGAGTCTGTGATCATTGAAAATCTCTAAATCCTTCCTAAATGTGCTCCTTCTACGCTACATCTACTCCGTTCCCATTTTGGAAGGTTAGTCTGGGGCCCGGCTCCAGCATGCAGCATTTCTCACTATACTTTCCACCTTTTCAGCTACTTTTCATTTTTTTCCATCTGTTGAGTCCTTTTAGATTCTGACTCTATATTTATGATCCCTCCCAGATTGTATCCTCAGTGAATCGCATCTTCAGGGTATGGATGTCCCAGCCAATTGATAGTGATCGCACTGGGTCAGGCACCGGAGGACAGAGTGCTGTGGTCCTCCATCTCAATGCCTCCGTTAAACGCCTGCATCTCATGTGACACTGACCCATTAATCAGCTTCTTTTGAGAACATCTCAATCAGTTGACCAGCTACAACAGTGCAGAATAAAGTTGAGTGTCCCTTATCTGCAATACTTGGAATCAGACTGGATTTCAGGTTTTATTTGTTCAGGTTTTGGAGCATTCGCATGCATGTAATGAGCTGTCTTGGGGATGGGACCGGGAAACTCATTTACATTTGATATACACCTCGGTACTCAGCCTGCAGGTGACTTTGTACAGTATTTTTAGTGCCGCCGTGTTTTGACTGCAGCCTGTCCCGTGAAGTCAGGGGTGGAATTTTCCACTTGTGGGGTCACAACAGCTAATTGATTCGTTTCCGATTCTGGAGCATTCTGGATCTGGGGCTTCTGGGTTGGGAATGCTCAGCCTGCATGGGCACCCACCAGCACGGTGCCTCCTTTTCCTCATGACATCTCACAGTGCCCTGTGAAAGACAACGCCAGCTGCCTCACAGAGAGACCCTGAGTCTGCGGTAGCCCCCTGGTCTACAGGGCCAGCGGCCCTGACCAGTCAGCCTGGTCATTCTTAGGAGCTCGGCCCCTCCTCTAGGAGCCCAGAGGTTATCCTTTGAATGACCTGCCTCAGATTCCTGCCTGGCGCCTCTGCAACACACCAGGTGACGTTGGTGGAAGCCACCATCTGTCCTAGATGGTGAAATCCAGAGGGCACCTGCCAGCGCCTGCCTTCACCACTGCCCTTGTCCCTCAATCATCTCTGCAACCCAGCAATGTCACCCAGGCATTCTGGGACTGGGGACAGAGCCGCTCCAGGCTTGGAGGTCTAAGCGCACTCAGAAGTATGTGCCAGCTTTCCTTCCCTGCTCCCCGGAGCTCTGGCCAAGTTCCAGGGTGGCCAAGGGGCAGAGGTGCAGAGCGGGTCCCAGGGCTGGAGCCCGGCACCTGCTCCCCACAGCCCCAGGGGCTCCCTGCGATGCCCAGAGGCTCTGTGGAGCTGGGGCCAAGCGAAGGCCCCTCCACTGCAGGGGCTCGGGAGAGAGGCCAGTGCAAACAGACTGACCCTCGAGATTTAATGTCCTGGCACAGAGGTGGACAAAAGCCAAGGGAGCACCTGGAGGGAATGACTCAAACTTCCTGGAAGGGGGGATGACTTCCCGTAGGAGGTGACATTTGGGTTGGGCTCTGAAGGATGAGTTGACAGTCCCTCCATGGAGAAGAGAAGAAGAGAAATTCCAGCCCCGGGAGCAGCCTGGGCAAAGGCCCAGAGCAGGAGGGCGGCCATGTGTCACTCAGAGCCGGGGCTGAAGGCTGACCTGGGTGGGGTGTGGCAGAGGGGGAGTTTGGGGCTGTGCTCAGTCCCAGAGAGCTCACCTGGCCCTGGGTCTCATCTGCAGCCTTCGAGAAAAGGAAAAGGAGCAGGGGGGGAGTCGTGGGATGGCAGAGGGCAGAAAGCGCAGGGCTCTGAGGCCCTGAAGGCCCGTGTGTCCGTCTGCCTCACCTGCACCGAGGACGCGTGTGTCAGGCACTCTGCTGCGCAAGTGTGGAAAACCAGCTCTCCCCCAGCCAGGGCCAGCCAGACCTGTGACCCCACAGGGACAGCAGCAAGTGGCCCCAACCACAGGGATGAGGAAAGGCTTCCGGAAGGTGATGGTGCCCAAGAGCAGGGACTCTGGGGACAACTAGGAATCGAGCCGGGAGAATCCTGGGTGGGGGGAACGGCAAGCAGGAGAGCGTGGAGGCAAAGAGGTGGGGGACGTAGCAGGCCTGAGGCTGGACCAGGAGGCCGGGCAGGCCACAGCATGAAGTCAAAGTGATGGGAGTCCCTGGAGGCTGACCAGACACAACACTGTCTGGTGCGCCCCTGGAGTGATCTGCCAGGGAGTCCACAGAGGACGGAGGTCTAGGGAAGGGGGGCCGGCAGGACGCTGGGGCAGTGTGCCAGAGGGAGGCGTGGGGTGGCGATGGGGACCAGGACGTGGACTGTGTCAGGAAGGGAGGACGAGGGACAGGACCTGGTAACAAGTGAGCTGTGGGGTGGGATGTGGGGGTCTCCAAGACCTGTCTATGGCTCAGGTGCACAGAGATGGAGGGGCCACCCGTCAGCCAGGCACTGTGGCCAGGTGGGGGTGAGCAGGGCTCCCACTGCTGTCCGTGGTGCTAGTGGAGTACCCCAGAAGGAGCTCTGGTGGAACTGGGGTCGGGGCTGGTCTAGGGACAGAGGCAGGAAGCCAGCAGGGTTTGGGGTGTAGAGAGTGGTTAGAGGAACAGCTTCCGCCTATAAGCCCCAGGAACTCCCCTCTGCTGAGGAATCTGGATGATGCTCCCAAGCACAGGTGAGGATCAGAGAGGGACAGTGATATCTCAGGGTCACACAGCAAGGAGTAGAAAACAATGGCCTAGAACCCAGGATCTTAGAACTCAAGGGCAAGGACATCTGAGAGAAGATTATGTCCTCAATACCACTGCTACTCTGCCTCCTTCAGGGCCTCTGTCATTCACAGTCCCCCTTTCTGCCTTCTATCTTCTGAACATCCCTTCCCCAGCACTCTGAGGCCAGCAAGGGGAAGGTGTGGGGGCTGGGGACACCCCATCTAGGATGTCCAGACAAGCCCAATCCCTTCTTCTCTTTTTCCTTTCCTCCTCCCCTTCCTTCCCTCCCCTCCCACTCCCTGGGAATGAGGCCTCCCAGTTGCTTAGCAACTAGCAGAGCCTTGGAGAAAGAAAATGGAAATAGCTCGGGAGGTGCCTCCCCTCTGTTAAGGTAGAGGCTCTTGGTGTGTTGGGGGGGGCAGTGTTTTACTTTGGATGTAGCCCAGAGTCATACCCAAGAAGCCAGGGCTTCTTATCTCTAAGCCATGCTTACCCTGAGACTAAAAGGATTTGTCTGCCTGGAAAGCTAATGTCAAAGTCATCTTTGGTCACATTATTAGAAGCAGTGTTTCCAGAACAAAGGAGGTGACAGAACTGTGGCCTTTAATGTGGGAGAGACACCCCCACCCAGAATGTTGGTTTTAAAGAAATTAACCTGATCACTGTGGGGATTGGAAAGTATGTCTGGAACAGGAACTTGAGAAGACCCTGGCTTCCCATGTCTGCAGAGCTGCCCTGGGTGAAGCCTGGGAGGTCGAAGCATCCATAGTCTGTGACCCTATTAGACAGAGCCAGGCCAGTGGGCTGGGGCATGTGGGAATGGTTTAAGCTGAGCCTGAAGGAAAGACAATAAATAAATAAAACTAACAAAGATTCTGAGTTGCCTGGTTGACTGGGGAGTTAGGGGGCCACCCAGGCATCTGCACAGGGCAGAGGGGCATCCTGGTAGTGGCCAGGTCCCTGGAGATGACTAGTCTACAGCCTTTGCAGGCCACCTAATCCAGCCTGCACCCACCCACTTACAGATGGGGACAGCCAGCATCCCACCCCATTCAGGCCCCAGGTGTGACCTAAAGGTGCAACCTGTCATCTGTGCGCTGCGGCCTGGGAGCCACGGATTAGAGCCATGGGCGGGCCCTTCAATCTCCAGGATTAACTCGCAGAAGGGAGCTTAGCAGGTGGCCCAGAAGTGACCATCCCGCCTCGGGTTTGTCTGTCCCGCAGGGCCTGCGGCTCCGGGGCCACCGGCCATGTCCTCCACCGTGAACAACGGGGCGGCCAGCATGCCGTCCCCACTGGACGCCGCCAACGGCTTCCCGCAGCCCGGAGCCTCGACGGGGGCCTGGCCGCGGGCAGAGGAGGAGCTGCGCACGGCGGAGCCGGGCCTGGTGAAGCGCGCGCACCGCGAGATCCTGGACCATGAGCGCAAGCGGCGTGTGGAGCTCAAGTGCATGGAGCTGCAGGAGATGATGGAGGAGCAGGGGTGAGTGATGGCTGTGGCCCCTGGGTGGGGCCATGCGAGGAGAGAGGCGAGGGCCCAGGCCCAGGCCAGGGGCTAGTCCAGCAAAGAGCCAAGGTCTTGGGCCAGCTGGGCCAACCATGGCAAGCCCAGCCCACCTTTCGTTCCTCTGTTCGTTTATTCAACCTACAAATTGTCTTTGAACACCTGCTGTCTGTCCAGCTGGGCTCTGGATTCCCAGAAGTCAAGGAGACACAGTCCCCAGGGGGAGAGGGGCACTTACACACCAATGACAAGCCCATCCCAGTTACCCAGGCTTATAATCCCAGTGACTCAGGAGGCTGAAGTAGGAGGATGGCAAGTTCAAGGCCAGCCTCAGCAATGCTGTCTCAATTTTTTAAAAAAGGCGGGCTGGGGATATAGCTCAGCATAGCACCACTGGGTTTAAGGCCTTGGTTTCCCCGTCTGTGAAATGGGTGGATCAAGCTGCCACACCAATCCTGCAGCCAGACAAGAAAACACTGAGATACTTAGTGTGTACCAGGGGTGACTGTGGCTTCAGCAAAGGAATCACTTGCTGGGTTCAGGTCATTTCCTGTCCTCAAAGCCCACCCTCCACCCCTAAATACTGTCTCAGAATAGAAACAAGCACATTAACATCCACCACCAAGCAGACTAGAATCATGGTTAAAGGACGGGAGGTGAGAGCCAAGCGCTTCAGGAGCCCGAGCAGAGATTCTGTCAGGGGAGGGGAGGCTGCCAGAGAACAAGGCATTTGAATGGGCTCTGAAGGATGAGTAGGAGTTTGTCACACCATGGGTGGGGAGCAGTAATTCGAACCTCTGAGTGCACTCGCCAGTCAGAAAGGGTTAGGGACATGCACACGTTCCCACGTCTAGCAGCGGCCAGACGCCCCCTCTCAGGGAGCTGGAGGCACAAGAACAGAACAAGGCTGGTCCCATTCCTGCAGCTCCAGGGACAGCCGGGGGTCCGAAAGCTCCCTTGGCATCTGTCCTGAGTGCATTGACACAGTGGGCTGGAGCAGGGCTGGCCCCAAAGCAACCTGTGCCTGGGACAGGGTCTGGAGCCACGTAGAGCCCAGGTGTGGCCCCAGTCCACAGTTCTTCCAAACTTCACCTGCATCTGAACACCCAGGCCCCTGGGCTCCCCAGGAGGCAGCTGAGACAGGGGCCACCATCTCTGCAGAGCTCAGAGAGACACTGAAGCTCAGACAGCCACAGTGGAAGGCCATCGGGAAAGTGGGCCACGGCCAGGTCTGCACTCAGCCTCCAGGGCAGCCGCAGCAGGGCTGCTGGGAGGGAGGAGAAACAGGGACCCAGTGCCCGGGGGGACCAGGTAGGTCCCGGGCAGAAATGGATGGCTGAAAGGGAGGACACTGAGGGCAGAGAGGAGCCCCCAGCCGGCAGTGAACGAAGGGATGGGACAAGCCGGGGTTCTGGGCCAGGTAGAGGGGGCGAGAGCATCCTCCACAGAGAGCACCTGGGGCCTTTATTAAACCTGCCGACCTGCTGAGTTGGAGACTCCAGGGCTGAGGGGACTGGAGTGGTGTGGGTGGGGAACGAGGGTAGACAGGGACAGAGAAGGAACAGCCTTCTCCAAGTTCCTGCCCTCCTCCTCCCCGAGTCCCTTCTGCCCTGTCAACCCTCCTGCCCCACTCCAGCCCCCCTCTTCCCTGACCTTCCTTCCCAGGGCCCATCCATCCCTGAGCCCTCCTTCCTGAGCCCAAGCAGAGGGCCACGGGGGTTTGGCCACATCCTGTCCTTGGCATTAGACCCCCAGTGTCAAGGTCTGCTGCCTCTCTGGGAAACGCCCTCTAGTTCTCAAGACGTGGTGGGGCCCTTCTCCCTGCCCTGTCCCCCTTCAGGTGGCCCTTAGACTGGAGTCTCCTCTGAAAGCTGGAGTTACCCTCCCCCACCTTCCTGTCCTTTAGCAGCCATGTGACCTGGGGTGGGGGCCACAGCCACTCTGAATCCGAGCTGTCCAGGCTCCCCGCCTAGCTTGACCTTGGCCAAACCATGGCTTCCTTACAGGTACCACAGGTGACCTGCCTTCGGGGGCTGTTCTAGGGGTCCCTGGACCACAGCACAAATGGACAGTCCCCTCCAAGTGCTTGGTAACACTGGGACCCAGCAGTTTCACACAGTCTAGTCACTGGTATTCATTTCTGCCAACGCGGGTTCATTCGTATTTATTTACTGGTTCTCAGGCATTTGACAAATACTGCCACCAGTCACAGGCAGACAGGCTCGCTGGCCCCATTACAGAGCAATCCCTTCCCTTAATGTTGACGGATGGCTGGCTAATTTGCTGGCAGTTGACACCGCACTTGAAGTCACCTTCCCAGGCAGCCTCTGCACGCAGGCTGCGGGGTTTGGGGACACAGAGCCCCAGCGTTCATGATGCGATGCTCCCCCTACTCCTCAGCATCCCCCCCGACCCTACCCACCTCTTGCCATGCCTCTCCTCGTGAGGACACAGGGCGGTGACAGCATGGTTCTGCCCCTAGCTGGGCTGCGAGCCTGGAGCCCTTTCCTCTCCGGGTTCTGATTGCCCATCTGTAAAATGGGAATGCAGCCACCCTCACCTTCAGAGCAGGGGCGAAGAAAGGACAGGCAAGATTAAGCCTTCTGGGGCTGTTCTGGGGCCCTTCCAGGGTTCTGAGGTCCTTTCCAGGGACCTCACCCGCCCCTGCCCTAGTAAGTGATCCGGGAAAACCCCAAGGCCACAGTGAATTTGGCGAGTCCTTCCTTCAGGGTCACAGAGTGGATTGGAGACTGAGGAAGTCCGAGGGCAGGAGGAGCCCTGGAGCCAGGAGGCCAGGCACCGAGGCCCTGCTGCGCCCTTGACTTTGAGCCTGAGGCTTTGGCCATGCCAGCCAGGCCTTCTGCGTGGCCTTAGAGTGGCAGATGTGCCACCTCCTCAGGGAGTGTGGTTTGGAGCAGCCTCCTGCCTGCATATCAGCCTTGGCCTTCTGAAAAAGCAGAGAGGAGGCCCAAGTGACTCCTGAAGCCCTGGTGCCCTGCTGGCCTGGCAGAGGTCAGGGGTGATAAAAGGCAAAGAACCTGGACCCTCTGCCCCCACTGTTCTGGAGCCAATAAGCCTCAGTGTCTAGCATTTATTTAGCAACTACTGTGTGCCAGACTCTGTACAAAGGGCTTCGAGGGCATCACCTACCTTAATCCAAAGACACCCTTAACAGGCTGGTCATGTCCCTGGTCATGTTCCCATTTCACAGACGTAAAAGGCAAGGCTAGGAAAAGCATATGGATTTGCCCAAGGTCGCAGAGCTAGTAAGCTGGGGTGTCAGGACTAAAAAGGGGCTACCTGGCTCTGCTGCGTGTCACCTCGATGACTGTCCCCCATGGCCTCAACAGAGAAGGCTGAGCCTCAGACATCGGAAGGAAGGGAGACTCAGAGGAGGTGGCACACTTGAGATTTCTCTGTGCAATAATCAGATGACATCTCTGGGCCCTCAGTGTCCCCAGCAAGACACATGGGGCAGAGAAACCCTCCCTATACCTCTGAGATGATTTAAACCAACATTCCTGCCCCCAGCAATGCCTGGGCTGGGCAGCTTGCCCATGACCAGCTGGCCCTGGGGTGAGTCCTAGGCCTCTGTACATGGGCCTCTCCAGGTCTTAGAGAAACCCTCCTCTCCACCCCCACACACTCCATAGACCCCCGGCTATGGGGCTTGGACCCTGTCCGCAGCCCCCTCTCGAGAAGCTGGGGAGCTGCCCCAGACTTGCTCTTGGGCCATCTCCTCCCCTATTCTTCCTGGCCCAGGGTCTTATGCCAGTGACCCAGCTAGCCTCTGCCTCTCTCCCGGGGTCTATGAGTCAGGGGCTGTTGAGGGCCTGTGCTGTTCGTCTCTGCTGGTGACAATGACAAGCTAGTGTCCTAAGGAGAAGGTGACATGGAACGGTTGTTCTGTGTCTTCAGTTGCTCACAGAGAAGCCACCACTCCTTCTTTCTGGGCCTAGGGACAGCCCAACTGGCCAGCCCCAACAAGCAGCCAGGCCAACAGACTGGCATTTCCAGGGGACATTGAGACTGCAGTTCAACAGAAGCTGGGGTGCGAAGGGCCCAGACGTTGGTGAAGCTGGGTTACAGGCCTCAGCACAGATGGCCTGCACCCCACCCCAGCATACCGGCCCCAGTCCTGCCTATCACTGCTGCATGGGAAACTGAGTCTGCAGAGAGTCGGGTCAGGGGCCGGGTAGGAAGGAACCCGTTCTCCTGTTCCAGGCCCCCATGCAGAGCCAGTGGGTCCCCAAGTCCACTCTCCCTCCTAGATTACGTGTGTCCCTTATTTTCCCTCCATTCTCAGGATCACTCTGACTCACCATCTCCTACATGAATCCAGACAGTGGCTCAGTGTTAGCCTCCCTGCTTCCAGGTCCCTGTCCTCACTGTGTCCAGGTCCCTCTCCTCCAGCCACACAGCACTGGAATCATCTTCAAACTCTCCAGTGCCTCTCCATCACCAGCTACTCATTTACCAAAACATGTTGGATGCCACAACACAGCAGGCACAATGCCAGGCACCAGGGACATCACAGCCAAGTAGACAGAGATGGCCCGTGCCCTCAGGAATTCCAGGCCAGAGCAGGACGCAGACAAGTCGAGAGAGAATTACTGGAGCATGAATCACCTGCCAGGGTCTGGGAGGGTTCGGTTGCCATGGAAACACAAATGCCGGCCCTGAACCGGGTGGCGGGATCCATCCTGCTGTCGACACCGAGAGAGGCGAGTCTTGGTGCTTTAGCCGTGCCAGTTTCCACAGGGTGAGCCTGGACGGTCATCGGGGAGTCCAAGGATGTGTTTGTTTTGAGGCTCTGAAGACTTGCCACTTGCTGCCTGCTAATGTTTGTTGGAGGAGTGCAGGGAAAGACCAAGGGGAGGAAGTGGGATGGGATCCTTGAGAAAGAAGAGCATGAGTGGGAGGGTTGGCCCTGCGGTGGGGACAGACACAGGATGGGAATCAGATGGCAGGGACAAGATAGGACACTCCCCCATTCCCTGTTCTTGTCCTGGTGCATGTCTTCTGCCCAGGACAAGGAATGACCTGTAGCCCAGAGAGGTCATGACACAAGATTCACTCAGTAACAGCCACTAGAACCCGCTATGTGTCAGGGGAGAGGCGAGGTGCAGAGATCCTGGGGGGCAGCAAGGACCCAGTCCAGAGGCAGAGATGTCTGAAGGACTGGGGGGCCAGGAAAGCGCTGTGACCATGTTGCAGAGAGGGGATGATGGACCCTGGGGCAGGGGCAGGGGCAGGGGCAGGGGCAGGGGTAGTCCCTGGCCTGAGTTTGGGCTCCAGGAGGGAGAACAGGGCAGAGAAGTCAGGAGCGCCCATCAGAGGCCCAGAAAGGGGAGTAAAGGATGTTCCATGGGACCCAGACAAGCCCCTTGGCAGCCTTGATCTGGCAGCAGTGGTCCTGCTCTGAGGACCTCCCAAGGCTGCTGTGAGGATCAGCCATCAGTGAGGCCAAGTAAGCAGAAAAGGCCGTGCCTGCCATGTGTGGTGGCACACCCCTGTAACCCCAACAGCTGGGGAGGCTGAGGCAGGAGGATCACAAGTTCAAGGCCAGCCTCAGCAATTTAGCAAGACCCTATGCAGCTTAGCAAGCCCCTGTCTCAAAATAAAAAATAAAAAGGGCTGTGGGTGTGGCTCAGTGGTTAAGCACCCCTGGGTTCAATCCCTGGTACAAAAAACAGGGGGTGGGGGTGGGAGGTACCTCTGTCCAAGCCAGGATTCTAGCTTCTCCCAAAAAATATCTCAGAGATGTGGGACAGCGACCTTTGGGGCTGGAGTCTAGCACACACCTGGGTCAGCTCTCCCCACCTCTGGGAACAAGTCTTTTTTTTAAACTTTTTCTCATGATTGTTGAGTCTCCCTGTGCGGCTCAGGCTGGCCCTGAACTCCCTCGCTAAGTGATGCTCCCACCTTAGCCTCCTGTGTCGCTGGGACCTGGGCCACCCCTGACCTGACTCCTCCCTCGGTCTGGTTGTGTTTGGGCGGTTGGTCGGGCCTGGTGCACATAGACGGGCCTTGGGCCTCCTCAGCACCGGGGGCCTGACCGGGCTCTGTGGTCAGGCAGGCGTGTGCCCTTGTGACCCTGGGCTGGGGAAGAGGCAGAGGGAGAGAGCAGAAGCCAGGAAAGCAGGCCTGCAGCTCTCTGTGCCCCACAGGTACTCCGAGGAGGAGATCCGGCAGAAGGTGGGAACGTTTCGGCAGATGCTGATGGAGAAGGAAGGAGTGCTCACCAGGGAGGACCGGCCTGGGGCCCACATGTGAGTGCTCCCTGGATAGGGGCAGGGTGGGCACAGAGGGGAACCAGAGGGGCCTGTCCAGGTACTCCCTCAGGGGGTCAGCGCTGGGGTGGGCGCTGGGGGGGGTGGAGGAGGAGAGAGCATGGACCCTGCTCGCTGGAAGCTGTGACCTGGCCCAGGGCACAAGACGGAAACCCGCACACCAGTACCTTTCCTGTGATGGCCAAAGGCTTAGCGGGTCACGAGGGTTTGGGCTCCATGGAGGCCTTGTCTCTGCGGCCTCAGGGCAGGGCAGCAGTGGTGAGCTGTGGGCCTCTGGGAGGGTTTTGCTCAAACAGGGACGTTTGGGACTCGGAGCAGAGTAGAACCGCACAGCACTTGAAACCACGATGAAAATGGGTCTAGCTGCAAAAATTAGATGGGTGGGCACAGGCTGTGCCTGCTGGGGTCCAGCTGTGGCTGGAGGGCTGGCCCAGCTCCATGCCTGCCAGGTGGTGTGTGCTCGGGGGTGCTATTGAGTCCACTTGAATGCATCTTCACCTTGTTAACCCCTTATTTCCTCACCAGCTCCAGTATCCTGGGCTTCTCTGGCGGGAAGCATAGGACAAGGACCCCAGTAGGGATTGGGAAGGCCTTCGTTGCAGACTCTCTGCTCTGCTAGGATGGACTCTTTCCCAAGTTGCCCAGTTAAACCTCATCTCTCTGGTCAGGGCGGTAGTGAAAGCAGTCAGAGTCGACCTCTGGTTTGACAGGGAGGTTCAAGGGTGACCTCGGGAAGCCAGGCTCAGCCTTCCCAGTCTCTCCTCCTCTCTGGACCCTGGGTGAGGATCCAGGGTTGGCCGACACCAAGTCCTTCCTTTCAGCCGCCCAGAACTCACCACTGCCGCACCATTTCCTGTCTCTGTGGGCAGGGCTGACCCTTCTCCTCCCTTCTCATCGTCCTGACAACCAGATTCTCTCTGATGCTGCCACAACAAGAAGACCCTGGCTCTCTGACCTGTTCCCCTAACACTGCCCCAGGGCCCTTCTGGAACACCACCCATGTTTTCCTCTCTCATGTGAGTGAGAACAAGAAGCCTCTGGATCCAACTTGTTCCACTGTCTCAGAGCCTTCCCTGTGACAACTGTCCCCTCCAGCTCGAGCCAGAAGATCTTCCCTTTGGCCTAATTCCTATTCCAAAGAAAACCGCACTCCCTCAACCTTGCTTTTCACTTAGCTACGGTCCCACATTTCCTTTCCTTTATCAGCCTGATTTTCATAAGCACCCACTGTCTCCACTTCGATGTGGCTCTGTCCCCATGACTCTGAGACCTGCTTGGCCATGGCCACCTGGGCTCCACTTCCCCTGGCCTGTGGCCTCTCTCTAGCATGTGCCACCATTGCGCTTCCCCTTCTGAAAGCTCACTTTCCCCTCTGCTCCCAAGGGGCAGCTCTCCAGGAACTTCCTCTGCCCCTCTGAGGGCTTCTGCTGTGTCCCCTTCCCCTGCCCACTTCTCAGAGGTTGGTTTTCCACTAAGCTGTCAGTTCCAGGAGGACAGGATCTTAGTCATTTCTTTTGCTTGGATCTGGTACCTAGAACAGTGTGGCTCACCCAGTTTCCCCCAAAACCTCGGTTTCTCCATTCATGCAGCAAGAGAGAAGCCAACTTACAGTTCAGGCAGCAGGAATGATATTCAAATATTTCTCCAAACAAGGAAGAAACTGGCTGTCAGGGCGCAAGGGGTGGGGGTGGGTGTGAGAAGGGGAGCTGTCCGTGGTGCTGAACACAGGCTGCCCTGGTCTGAGGCACAGAGGTAGCAAAGAGGGAGGGCAGGCTGCAGTCTGGTCTTGCTCCTTCCTCTGACTGGGTCTTCACATCTCAGCTCACTTCTTAGAAGAGGTATGGGAGAGTGAGTGTGGGCTCTGGAGACAGACACCACCTGTCCAATCCCCTGTGCGGATCCCAGCTCCACCAAACCCAGTATGTGACTTGGGCAGGTCCTTGACTTCTCTGGGTCTCCATTTATTTACCTATGAAATGGGGATGTGAGTGTCTGTGTCATAGAGTTGTTGAGGAAATTAAACGAGACAGTGGCGGGGGACGGTGCCTGGTATAGAGCAATCACACGTCACGACCTGAAAATCACCACCACCATCCCATAATCACCCGGCGAGGGCAAATGCCCAATTGACCTTGATTTCTCCCCTTCTGCCTGGCTGTCTCCATCCTCTGCCAACTGAGAGGCTCCCTCCAGAGCCTATGAAGCCCTCTGATCCCGCAGCAGGCCCTGTGCTCCTCTGGCCTCCCCCCACCATAGACTGGTATATGGGGACATGGAGAGATTCAATGCCCTCTTAGGTTTAAATGGCAAATCCAGACACACTCAGGGGGGTGGGGGTGAGCACATGCTGTCTTCACCCACAGGGGCAAGGTCACTCCCAGAGCTTTCTGTCCCCACGGGCCATCCTTGTTTCTTAGGTTAACTGGTTTGAGTGACAGCTCCTTGTAACAGTTGCCTCTCCCCTAACTGGACACCAGAACATCATACTCTTACAGTGTCTAGATATGACTCCATGGACGTTGGGAACCAAGTGGGATGTGGTCAGCAGGTGTCTGGGCACTTTCCCCTTTGGGAGGTAGATCACTTGGTGAAACTGGAGGGACACTAATGAGACAGCTGGGGCTTGAATTGGGTTGTTGCAAGGAGATGAAAGAGAAGAGGTAAGGTGCCAGGGACATTGAAACCAGATGAGCTTATGGCTCTGGAGGTTGCTTGGATGTGTTAAGGAGCCTCAGGTGGCTGAGGCTCCTTAGCACCCATGAAATCAAGCCTGGCTTCCTTTGCTGGTGTCCAAGCCTCCCACTCCCAGAACCCAGCCCCACTCCTACCCTCAGCATGGGCCAGCCTGACCTGCTTACTGTTCCTTGGCGTCCTGAACATTCTCACTTCCATCCTTTGTTTATTCTGGACCCTCAGCCCCCAAACGCCCTAGCCCCCTTCACATGGTTTCAAATACACCCCTCATGCAAGCGGCCTCTAAAAACTGCATTGCTGATCTCCCTGGGGGAAAGTTGCCTCTTCTTCTCTTCTGAGCACATTCAGCATTTTCTGTGCTTCTCGCAGCTGCCTTCAATTCTTATTTTTTCCCCAGTCCAACAAACAACCTTTAAGAAACATTGTTTTCATCGTTATATAACAAAATCCTGTTTGTGGAAAACAGTGCTCATAAGCTATTTCCTTACATGAACAGAAGGACCAAATGCCAGGTTTTCCCCGAAGTGTAGCTGGGGGTATACAGAGTGTGAACTCTGGGTACCTTCTAATTTCATCCACAAGATGAGAATATTAATGGTGGTCCCTGTGTCATAGAGCACTTGATGATTCAATGAGATAAGTACATGTTAATTGATCGGATAGTGCCTGGCACCTGGGTTGGTAATTGTAATAGGCAGCAGATCACTGCGTGGTGCTAGAGCTGAACCAGCCTTGTTCCTGCTCCCACCCGACAGTCCTGGCATGCAGTCTGAGTGGCTGAGCAGAGAGGGCAGACCCCATGCCTGGAATCCCCCCTCGTTCTGGATGCATCATCTGCCAGCTGGCCATCACGCTCCAGGCTAATGGGAATCAGAGTTAATTAGCGGAACTGCTGGCCTCAGGAAGAGCACGTGGCCTGCAGTCTTCACAGGGTCTGAGCTCTGCCGGGGTGGCAGGTCTAATGTATGCCTCACAGGGCTCTGTGTCCCACTGCAACACATCCTCTGTCCCTCAGCAGCAGACTATCTGCACCTACTTTGGTCATTTCTTCAGGGCTCAGTCTGTTGGCATAGTGGGCAACACCTCCTGTGCCCACTCCATGGACATGATGAGTGTCAACTAGGTAACAAACATGAACCGCAGGGTATAAAACATTAAATACATCCAGAGCACACATCTACAGCTGTCCCTATACAGCAGGGAAGGGCCAACTGAGCTAAAAGCCCCAGCTCTGGATATGGGCAGGGAAGGTCCACCAGCAAATTCAAGGCCTGTCCTATTGGCACAAGAATTCTCAAAGCCAGTTGTAGCCAGGTACAGTGGCCCACGCCTGTCATCTCAGCAGCTCAGGAGGCTGAGGCAGGAGGATCGCAAGTCCAAAGCCAGCTTCAGCAACTTAGCTAGTCCCTAAGCAACTCAGTGAGACCCTGTCTCTAAATAAAATACAGAAAAGGAGTGGGGATGTGGCTCAGTGGTTAAGCACCCCTGGGTTCAATCCCCAGTACCAAGAAGAAGAAGAAGAAAAAAGCCAGTTGCATAGCTGAACTTAATACTTACCTTAAAGGCCTCAACTCTACAAGTGCTATTCCTGTCCCTCTCTGGGTCTGTTTTCCCATCTATAAAATGGGTACAGGTAGTTTCTCTAAGTTAGAAAGTGGGATAGTGAAATGCCGAGAGCCATTTAAACAATAGAGAACATAATTCTTAGTGATATTATCATTCAGGGGAAATAAGATAGGAGAACCCGGGTTCTAGCCCTGGGAGATCCCCTCAAAACAGATGTAGGGGAACCAGGAGCACAAAGCCAGCAAAGGGGGCTGAGGGCTGAGATGTAGCTCAGTGGTACAGCATATGGTCAGCAAGCTCAAGCCCTGGGTTTGATCCTCAGGACCTCAAAAAGCAAAGAGAAATGAAGCTAGCAAGAGAAGCCTCAGTCCACATCCATTTTTGTCCCTGAAACTCCCAGAACAAGTCCTAGAAGGCTTTAAGGCTGGGAATGTGGCTCAGTGGTAGAGCACCTTCAATCCCCAATATTGCAAAAAGCAAAATAATTAAAAAATAAGATACAGAAGGATTTGAGACCTTGCCTCTCTCCCCAGGCCTGCTACAGTACCCTAAGCCCATCCTCCAATGCTCCCAGCAGATAAGACCCCAGTGGTCTACCTAGCAGGGACAGGAACATGAGAGAGACCCTTTCTAGGAGGGCAGATGGGAGAGGCAGTTAAAGGAGGGTAGGGAGACAGTGTCCCGCAGGAGGTGCTACCCAGACTGAGCTATTTTATTTTGTAAATAACCTTCAGCATGTTCGTGTCAGGATCAACTGAAGCTCTCGCTCCCACTGGCTCACCCACACACTATTTGAGGTGCCCTTATGTTTTGCTAAAGACTATATTTTATGTGTCAGACGTTCCTGCGGATGATGAGCCGTGTAGGGGGTGACGGGCCCTCGGAGCATAGAGGGCTGGGCAGGCAGAGGGAGTTGGAGATTCAAGGACAGGGACAGGAGGTAGGAGGCTACCAGCTTCAGGGAAAACCCACAGAGAAGAGCAGAGAAGTTTGAATGAAGGGATGCGGGGGTGTTTGGCTCTGCGGGGGCTGGAGGGTGACCTGAGTCTCTCCTCCATCGCCCCAGAAAAAACTCCCTACTACCTGGGTGGACTCCAGGGCTGTCAGGGCCAGCTCAGTGTTTGGGAATTGGATGACACTCTTGAGACTGGCCTCTAGGCTAGATAACCCTGTCATATTTGGGTTACATTTTTATTCTTAATACAAATTTTGTCTTTAAATGGTCCATTAGTGGCCGCATGCTGGAGATTTGTTCTCTTCTTTGGCTCTGTACCTATGACCTGCCTCTCTTTCCTCCGTTTCTCTCTGCACTGCAGCGTCATTTCTCCCTGGAAGAGGCATTGGTATGTAAGTGCTGGCAGGCCCCCTGCCTGACAATGTCTATCAGGTGCAGGCAGAACCGTCACAGGCCAGGCCTCATATCAGGGGCTTCACAGAAAGAAGCTTCCTTAGCCCTCTGCTCAAAGCTGGGATCTTCTTTTCCTCCTTGTATAGATAAGGACCTCGATCTGCCAGCATGGTCCTGCTTGGACCCAAACCCACCTGTGTGAATCCAAAGCTCATGTCCTTCACACTCTGCATTCAAGCCCTGGCCTCCCTCTGTGGGGGGAAGGGTGAGCTAGGCTGGTGGCACCAAAGAGAGAAGGCAGTTCTCCTGAAACCAGGGCTGAGCCTCCCTCTGGGAGGGGCCCCACCTGAGCCACTAAGGATGACAAATGGAAGATGAGGGTTCGCCACCCTGGAACCCATTATGGTGAAGCCAGGGAAAGTCACTTGTAAGCTTCTTGAAAAAAAAAAAAATGCCCAGCATCCATTACTTTCATGAAATTTCCCAAAAGTCACTCCCATCCTGGAGAAGAAGCCCAGAGAAGGCCTGACAGGGCTGGGGGTGCGGCTCCCTCTGGACTGCTTGCCAAGCATGCCCAGGGCCCTAGGTTCAATGCCCAGCACCGAAGGAAAAATAGGGAGATGGGGGCGGCCAAGGAACATGACAGGTCCCGGGCCACGCAGTGACTCAGGGACAGCACATGATGAGAGCTTGTCTGAGGCTTTCAAAGCCCTTGCTCTTCCCGGCTGCCTGTAGATAGGAAAACAACAGCAACACGAGAAAGGCGAGTAGGGACGAACTCCACTCTGTAGCAGATGATGGCTGGGGGCTCCGCTGTTGAACTGGGACAGGAGGTTGTCGGTCCCCACTGAGTGAAGCAGGGACTTCTGCGAGGTGGATGGGGAGTGTGGGAAGCGGCAGAGTGCTGAGGCCCGCACCCTCCACTGCTGGCGGGTGATTGATGAGGACATCCCGGGAGCCGGAGATGAGCAGCAAGGGCTCAGGAGGCTGCAGAGGGGAGAGAGGAGAGGCTATGAATATTTCAGAGGCTGAGGCCAGGGCGGGAGGAAAGGAGGGGAAGAGGCGGGAGCCATCGGCAGGGGGCTCAGGGACTCAGAAAGCCAGGGGGAGGTCAGGAGGGAGTAAGAGAATGGGGCTCAGGGAGGGAAGGAGGGCGGGGAGGGACTCCTGAATAGTGCGGTGGGGTTCAAGGACACGGGGATCAACAGGGGGCTCAGTGAGGGGGCGGAGTTCAGTGAGTGGGACCGGGACACAGGAGGCGACTCGGTGAGGAAGAGGCTCAGGAAGGAGGGCAGACTGAGAAGGGTGGAACTTAGAACTTAGAGGGCTAAGTGGGCACCTGGATGCTCCTTTTTCTCTTTGCAAACACTGTCACCGAAGGCTGAGGACCTGGAAGGGCAGAGCTGGGTTAGGTTACCCAAATCTCCGCCTGATCTTTAAGGGTAGGGGCTGCAGATGCTGCCGCCCGAGCTGATGACCCCCAGGTCCCTTCCTGGAGCCACCGCCGCACCCCGCGGACCTTGGGGCCAGGTCAGCGCGTGGGATCCAGGAACGGGCAGTGGGAAGGAGGTCCGCAGAGACAGGTGGTCAGAGTCCTTGTTGCCGGCAGCGTGGCGGAGACCCCACGGCCAGCAGAGGGTGCAGAGCCGGGCCTGGAGTACGCGCCCTTCGAGGAGGATGACGGCCCAGTGGACTGCGACTGCCCGGCCGCCTGCTACCGCGGGCACCGCGGGTACAGGTGAGCGGTCGCCAGGGCGGAGGGGAAGGCAGCACAGGGCCGCCCCACTCACCGCCCTGCGCCCCTTCTCGCCCAGAACCAAGCACTGGTCCAGCAGCTCGGCGTCGCCTCCTCCCAAGAAAAAGAAGAAAAAGAAAGGCGGCCACAGAAGAAGCCGGTGAGAGGCGCAGGGCCCCGGGACAGGCGTGGGGAGGGGGAGGGACCCCCAGGTGTCCAGCCATATCTGTGAGCCCTGCACCTGTCTCAGCTCCTCCTACTGCTAAACACCTTCCCTCACTCAATTCCTCCCCTTCTCTAGGCCCCGCCCCCTCATTGAGCACCTCCCCTTCACCAAGACCCCACCCCCCCAGAACTGAACACAGCAACCTGCCTATGATCCAACAACCCGGCCCTCCCCCAAGGTTTCCGCACCCACCACCCCAAATGTGTGGTGCCTCATCTGTCATTCCTCCGTCCTTGGCCCCCCTTCCCTGCCGAGTGACACCCTAGGGCCCCAACTAACATATCCATCTGTCTGTCCTTTCTCCTGGCTTCTACCCTCAGCAAAAAGAGGAGACTAGAGTCAGACTGCAGGTCAGTAATGAGGGTGGTGGGCAGGCTGGGGCTCAGGTGGGGCATGTCTGTGGGTGGGACAGACCCCAAGGCCATCCTGCTGGAAGAAGGCCTCACACCTTAGGGCTTGGACTCTGGACTCTGTCACGGGGCCAGCTTTTCCTCACAGAGGCCAGTAATCCCACCACTGTAGGCTCTAACCTTTGGGATTCCAACCACCTTACCAAGTGGCCTGGAAGGGAAACAGGGACACAACACAGACAGCCATCTTTAGGGACCTCACCAATCCAATCTTTGGGCCTCAGATCACACTGAACTATGGGCAGCTGGGCTTCATGGCCTGGAATCCTCTTCCCAGCCCCCAAGCCTTTTCCAGTCATTTCCAGCTCCCCTCCCAGCTCACCCCTGTGTCCACAGCTGTGGGAGCGCCTCACCCCTGCGCAAGAAGAAGAAAAGTGTAAAGAAGCACCGCAGAGACAGGTACCTTACTGCCCCACCCTCCACCCAGCCTCCTCTCGCTTCCACGGGCCCATTGGGATCCCCAGGCCAAGCCCAGCCAGCTCAGGAGAGCTCCTTTATCACCACACAGGTCTGATTCCGGGTCCCGGAGGAAGAGACGGCACAGGTGAGCAGTGCTGTACGGAGCATGGGTTAGGGGCTTAGGGTCCCTGAGGCCCACCCGAAGCAAAGATAATGACAGGAGATGAGTCATGAGTCTGGCCCAGCTCCATCCTCTGACTCTGGGAACTGCTTCTCAGAGCCAGGTGGGGGTGGGTAGCATACAGACCAATTCTTTGCAACTTTTGTCTGCCCAGGAGTCAACCTTGACATAGGTGGCTCAAGAATTTCCACTACCCAAGGGGTGTGTCTGAGAAAGCAGCAGCATCAGGACTCCAAATGTGCAGGGAAAGCAAATGGCAGGCAGAAGGACCTCCATGCGTGGAGGGTTCAGTGCTGCAGCAGACAGTAGTCAGGCTGGGGCTAGAGCTGGAGCTTCCGAGGGGCAGGTACTAGTGGGGCTCCCAGCTCCTGCACGGGGACTCTAAGCAGGATAGTGACTTATCCAGGACATGCTGGGGGAGGGGAAAGGAGGAGAGGAGAGGATAAGAGAGGCCCAGGCAGGGAGGGGGGTTGGCCAAGGGGCAGCAGAGAGGTGAGGCCAAAAAGGTAGGAGACTCAGCACAGCCGGGGTGCCTGGGACCGAAGCTGTGGGGCAGTTACATTCCTATAGTTGACGTCAGAGCCAGACCTCTTTCCAGCATCCCTGAGGAGGGACAAAGTCCCCAGTCCCTTCCCTGTGATGGAACCTCAGTGCCTGAGACCAGTGGGCAACACCTAATCCTGCCCCTGCAGTTTCCCCAATTTCCCATCCTCCCTCCACCCCACCCACACACCACCTAAGCCTATGGGTCATTATGGGCCCCTGCTGTCCCAGCATGGTCACCATCATTATGGGGCCTGGAGAGGACCTGGGAGTGAGCAGGGCTAGACCGGCTTCCTGAGGAGACTGGGGCCTAACGGAGATGTGCAGCTTCCGGAGCCCAAACCCTTGGCCTCCTGGGCCTGTCCCCACTCAGTCTGCTCCTGGGGGAAGGGCATGTCATGTATCGTCACATTGCTTCATTCTGGGATCAGAAGGACTAAAGGAATCTAATGTCACCGGTGAGAGGTGGCATCAAGGAGGGTGGCATCTACAGGGACTTGGGGCAGCTTGAGTCTTTGAGACCTAATTGGAAGTTTCTCAAACTTTCCATCAAAGGCAAAAGGTACTGGGGTTGGGGGACCTGCCCCAGAGAACTGTATGGGGACAAGGGTGGGCAGCTTTGGGGAAGCCCTGGATATGGATCCAGAAGTCATTGCAAAGCAAGGAGATCGTGCCCAAGAGAAGCATCTCTATCCCAAAGCCCAGGTGAGCTGCCCACAGCTGGGTCATAGCCTGAGAGGAGAGGGCATAAAAGAGGTATGAAGGGGCCACTTACCACAGTAGCTCATTAGGGGGCCTGTCCCAAGATATGTCATAGGCCATGCAAGTCACCTTTTCTACCCACCAGAATTGTACCCTGATGCTGCCAGATCCGCAAAAAAAAATCCCCCTTTCCTCTTGGGGCCTTGAAGCACCCTAGCAGATGAGACAGCAGGTCCCTGTCAGCCAGGGAGGAACACGTTTCAGGCCGTAGCCAAGCACAGTTCTGCTTCAGAGCTCCAAGGCCCCACACACCTCCTGTTCTGCTCAGGCTTGGTCTCTGCTTCCCACAGATCGAGGAGCCCCAAGAGCAAAAGAAAAGAAAAGAACAAAGAGAGGAAGAGGTAAGCCCTTCCCCCTCCCTTCCACCTCTCCCCTGGCCTTTTAGCATCACAAAATGAGGCCTCAAAGAGAGCTGGCTCCCAGTGCCCACCTTGCCCAGGGGGAATTGATCCCACCCCCAGAGAGGAAGCCCTAAGTGAGTCAGTGGCACTGTGGAACGCAGGCCATTGTCTGTCTCCCAGTCCAAGGTCCTTTCCATCCCAATCTTTGTGACCCCCTGCCCTCCCCAATCTCAAGTCACAAGAGCAGCAGGTGAGGGATGGCTAGCCAGGCTGGGACTGCCTAGGGAAAAAAAGACGCCTTTTCCTAACTGTGACACTTGACCTGTAGGGGCCGCTGTTCTCTGCAGCCAGCACTAGCTGCCTTTGGATAGTTTTATAGGAAACCCTGGGGATCTGCAGTGACCTCCATCAGACTTCACTGGGTCCCTGCAGGCAGGTCAGGCAACCCCAGGGCAAAAGTGGGCAGAGCTTAGGCACTAGCTGATTCCCCTCCCCCACGCCAGGCCTCATGCAGAGTCCCCAAGCCGAAGGTCCCACCGCCACAGCAGTGGCAGTTCCCCCAGCCCCTCGCTGTCCTCGCACTTCAGTGACTCCGGATCACCTAGCAGGTAGGCTTGGCTCTGAGAGGGCTCAAGGTGGGCTTTTTTTTTTTTACTTTTGGGGGTGTGGGGTGCGGGTATTGCAGATTCAGCAACCCAGGGCTGGTTGGCAGAGCTGGTGGACAGATGTCAAATGATCAGTAGGTAGTCGTTGGCAGGGGTCCTGCAGGTGACCACCTGCAGAAAGAGCTGAGGTGCCACATACCCTGAGGCGGAAGGCAGTCATGACAGTGCGGCTACGTTCAGGTCCAAAGGGAGGGTGGGAGTGTCCCCGCTGCATTCGAGGGAGCGGCCTCCAGCAGAGGGGGCGTCCCACGCGGGCTCCCCCATTCCCCCGCCCCCAGGCTGAGCCCCAAGCACCGAGACGACGGGCGAAAGACGGGCAGCCAGCAGTCCAGCGGGAGCCGGTCGCCTTCCCCGTCAGGCTGCAGCGGATGGGGGTCGCCCCAGCAGAACGGCGGCAGCAGGCAGCGGAGCGGAGCGCACCGTGGCCGCCCTGGCTCGGCACACAGCCCGCCCGATGTACGTATGCTCTGTTTTGCGGAGGGTTCCCGCGCGCCCTGCGGGATGCGCCGTTTTTTTGGTGGCGGGGTGATGCGGTCACCAGAGGGGCGGACACGAGTGTGTCAAAGGGGCGGGGCTGCTTCCTCCCTACCCCTGCGCCCGCCCCGTACCCCCATCGAGGGCGGGGCGTCGTGGCACCGGAATCTCCAGGAGTGCTCTGGTTGTTGGGCCCACCCGGCCCTAATGGCAGGGTGAAAAGGGCCTGTAAGCTTGGGCCACCCTTGAGCTTGGCGAACTGAAGGCCAGGCAGGGGCTGACCATCCAGGCACTCCGTTGGTACAGAACTAGGGAGGAACAAAGGTCTCTGCCTCCCCCAGGCCTAGCGGGGAGCGGGCAAGGACCTTGGTAGGAGTCACAGTCAGATACTGGAGTCAAGAAACAGGAGCACACTGCCCCCTCTTAGAGTCCCTCCCCTGACCCACTGCTAGCTCCTCTACCTCTCTCAGGTCCCTCGCCCATCTCAGTCCCTGTGCTGCGACAAAGCTGCCTTTCTAAAATCCCTGCGCCCTGGAGAATCTGCCTCTTTGGGCATTGCCCACACTTGGACAGGTGTCTCAAACCTACTGTTCCACTTCCCACAACCTACTCTCCTAAGATACCTCCCAGGGAGCTGCCCTCTGGGGCTCCACACCAACACCGCCCACAAAACTGTCCCCACCTAACCTCCAGGAGATACACAGTCACCTCTACCCCACAGACAGGCGTGGTGCAGGCACGAGATGGCGGATGGGCTGGCTGGGCGGAGGTTCTCCAGACCCTGGTGTCTGTGGGTTATAGGGTACAGGTTGACACCCCTCAGAAAGAGGGGGGCGGCAGTGCTGGCAGGGGCACCCGTGAACTCTGGGACCTGGGGTAGGGAGGCCTGCAGGCTCCTTCCCAGACCCACAGACTGCCCTGGAAGCCGAGGCCAAACGGGGAGAGGTGCCCTCCACAGACCTCAGGTCTCAGCTGCGAACGTGTCCATGTTGGTCAGTTTCATTTTGATTTTTGGCTAATTCCCTCCACTCCCTTTCTTTTCTCCCCCGGGGGGCTCAGAGGAAAGGCAAGGACAGCCGATAAATGTCTCTTGATCTCAGTGTTGATTTTTTACTGAAGGACATTATCTGTCTCTAGACTGTCCCACCTGAGAAAGATCCGGGCCCTTGGGCTGGCTTCCGGGACTGTGGTTGGGCCACATGGGAAAGGTCTAACTGAAGGCCCCGTCTGTCTTGGGAGTAGGAGAGGGCATGCAAGGGTAGCTGAGGGTAGTAGTGGCAGGGACAGAAGTGGGCGTGGCCACCCTCACCTGCCTGAGCACAGAGTCATTCCCCCAGCGCAGGGTCATAGGGCAGGGCTAGACAAGATGCCCACTGGGACCCTGCAACCTGCTTAGCCCCAAATGCCTCTTCTTCAGCATCGCCTCCTCCTGGGACCTCCTAAGAGACACAATCACAGATTGTCTCAAACCAGGGTTGAGAGCCCCTTCCCCCTTCTGGTCCCTTCCTGGCTCTGGAGTTTTGAACAACTACCCCACCCCTGCAAGAGTCCTGGGCTCCTGCATACAAAATACCCCCACTGACTGGAGCAAGCTGATGAGGAAGAGGACCTAGCCTTGGGGAGGGAGACTCCGCAGCACCCATGTCTCTTTTCCCTCCCAAATGGTACTCCATGAGGATGTGGCCCCAGGAGTGTTCCAGGGGCCCGTGCTTTCACACTGCTCGGAGCATTGGCCCCAAATCCTATTCCTGTCCAAGGACTTGGGAGATCTGGGGCCTTGAACACCCCGGTCTCTAACATGCCCTAGCATCCCCTCTTTGCCTGAAAATGCTTTTGAGGGAGTTAAATGAGGCCCGTTTCTCTCCCATCCAGAGAGGCGAGATGGGGGGCTGGGGTGTCATGGACTTGACCATTAATGACAACTACAAAAAAAAAAGGGGCTTTGGACAAAAGTACTGGGGGTGGTATTCTTGGACCTACCTTTAAAAAGAGAGAGAGAGAGAGAGAGAGAGAGAAATGAAAAAAAAAAAAGAAAGAAAGAAAAAGAAAAAGAAAAGCTCAACATTTTTAACCCCGTCTATGTTTTTGTTTGTTTTTTAGCCTCTCCCATTTGAAACGTGGTAATATTGTGATTCCATTTCTTGTTTAGCCGGCAAGGGAAGAGGGTGGGGAAGGTTATGTCATTTTTCCTGTTATTTTGGTTTTTGTTCGTATTCCTTTTTCCTTCCTTATTTCATTTTTCCTGTGTAGTGTACAGAAATGCAAACTATCTCTCTGGGCTGTTTTTTCCCCCCTCTCTTCTGTGTTGTTCTAGAATTTTGCTTTTGTGTGTGTCACTGTGGGAACCTTTCTTCCTAATGCAGAGATGGTTTTGAATTTTAAGTGAACATTAATCATAGACATATCTCTCTATACTTATTTTCCCCTCATTATCAGAATTTAAAAGGGAAGATAAATGCTAAACTGAAATGACATCCACACCGATTCTGCCAAATCAGCAGCAGCTCCCGCTCCACCCAGGGCACCCCAGGGCAGGCACTGGAACTGTTGCCACTTTTAAATGAACAAAATCAGTGCTTCTGAGTCTGTGAAATTAAAAAATAAATAAATAAAAAGGGCTGGGGATGGGGCTCAGTGGTTAAGCAACCTGGGTTCAGTCTCTAGTACCCAAAAAAAAAAAAAAAAGTAGACCCAAGGCCTCTGACCTCAAGACCCTCTGTAGAGAGGTAGTAAATGGAAAGAATATGACGGGAACCCTGAGCCAGAGGACAAGGATTTGGGAGAAGGATTCTGGCTGCCTTGGCTCCAGCCTTCCCCCACAGAACCCTCCAGAGGTTTATGGCATGCTTTAAGTCCTCCCAACTCCCTAGAACTGGGGCCTGCCCACACTGAAGAACTAGGGCACAAGTGGCCCCTTGTTCCAGAAGCACACTCTATTATTGCCGTCCAGTTCATGTACAGACAGGGAAACAGATAATTAGGCACAGAGAGGGAATGGAGCCACTCAAGATACACACTGTGGGATAGAAGAGTAAAATGCTGAGCAGGGGACCTCATGGGAGAAGTCCTTCTGTCTGGTGTCACCTGGAGCCTTTGCCAGGCTCCCTTCAGCTCCATGAGCCAGGCGGGTGCTAGCTTCCCCAACTCAGGCTCCAACGCCCTGGCCATAAAGGGTGTTCAGAGTTTGCCTTAGAAGTGGGGCCACTTTGGCTTTGGCCTTGGCTCCACCTGTCTCTAGCATTAGAAAGGTCAAGGAAGGGCTAGGGGTGTGTCTCAGTGGTAGAGCAGGCACTGTGCCGGGTCCTGAGTTTGGACCTCAGCACTGAAAGATAAATAAATAAATAAATAAATAAATGTGTCAGGGAGATTCAGAGGGGGCACCATTTGGTGATAGCGACAGAGAAGTCTCAGGGCAAACCTTCCATGCTCTCTGGCCAACATTTCATCATACAGTGGGCAGCCTCCAGTGACCTCAAGAAGAAGTGCCTTGGCCCTCCCTGACCTGCCTCCCGCAGGAGGAGCAGCGGCCACAGCTGCAGCAGGGCGGACAGGATAGGAGATGGTGGCTCTGCAGTTCTCCCGGGACGTTCCCCTCATTTCCCAGGACAGAGCCAGAAGGCAGGAAGGATGAATTTTGCTAAAACGATGCCAACGCCCATGGGCCAGGGACAGGGGTTGATCTGAGGCAGGACTGGTCCTCCCGATTGAAATTGTGGTTGTCTTCCCTTTTAAATGCACCCCCCTCCTCCGCCGCATCTGTCCACTCCGGCCTTGTTTAAACAGCTTTAGCTTTTCTCTCTTCTTTCTGTCTGCGTCCACCTGTCTGCCTTTCTGCCTCCTTGTGTCTGTTTCCTTCCGACATTGTATCTGTCCTCTCATTTCTTCTCCTCTCTCTGTTTCTGTCTCTGCCTCTCTGTCTGTCCATCCCTCTTCCTCTCTGCCCCTCTCCCTGGACATGGGCCTCTCTCCCATGCTGCCACCACCTCTTTACCCTGCTGTGGTTCTGCTGCCATCAGCCGCTTCCTGCATGCTCTCTGGAAGGTTCCTGTTGTGTAAAGAATTGAGGAAAGCTTGGCTGTCAAAGCCTGTGGTTCAAAAAAAAGCAAACAGAAATGGCTGGGCAGAAGCCCCTTCCCATCCCTGGGACCAGACCCCTCACCCACCACCTCACACTGGCTGCCCATCTGCTGGCTCAGAGGGGGAGTGCAGGAGCGTCACTGTCTTTGCCCCGTCTGCATTCCCAATGCGGAGACCTTCTTTTCTTTTTTATTATTGCATTCCTGTCCCTGACCACTGAGAAGAAGGTAGGTATCCTGGCTCCGCTGTGCGCTGCCCCCGCTCCATCTCAGATAAGCCCCGCCACTCTGCTTGGTTTGAATGTGGTTTTCTTTCTCTCTCTTTCTCTCAACCTGGCTCTGGTTGATTTTCTCTTCCTCCCTTTTCTTTATTTGAGTGACTACTCATTTGTAACCTGCACTTTCTCCAAATGAGCTGCAAATCTGTGTTCCCTGGTTTGTCATTTGGTTTTCTTCACTTCCCCTGATGACTTTTCTAGTTCATCTCCTCCTTCTTCCTCTCCAACCCCTCTGCCCGCCCCAGGCCCTCCTCCATCTCCCTCTTTCTCATTTTGTTGTCCGAATGCATTTCTGTGTGGTGTAGCATCCAACCGTGTGTCCCTGGACTGCGCGCTGCGGTGGAGCCAATTTGAATTCTGTTGTCTGGAGAGCTTCTAAACCCCTTGCCTTCATCCTTGCCAGCCCCTGGGGGTTTGGTCAGCCCCTGGCCCTCGGGGTCCACCTGGGCAATAGGCAATGGTTGAGTGGATATGCTGGGCCTCTTGACCTCCGGATTCTGGAGGAGTTTTTGATTGAGGTCAGGCACAAGGAAAGAGCCTGATTTCCCTGCTCCCCGCCCTGGTCTGGGCCAACTGCACCAGGCTGACCTCTGGCTGGGTGCAGGTCCTTTTCTGGCAGCAGGATGGAACTTGGGGGTAGGAGACACAGGGCTCTGGGGCACCCACAGTCACTAAAATTGAGCCTCAATGCTCCATCTCTTAGGTGTGATGGTCTAATAACTGCAAGGGTTGAGCCGGCCAAGAGCAGGTGCAGGACTTTGAGGACCTATTTGACAAAGTCTCCATGGGGTGGTTTGGGGGATGAAGTGGACTCTTAGCTTCCTTTCCCCTGCCCACTAACCAACTTGGACAGCCCTCCCCCCACTCCCAGCCTCCTTTCAACCTCTGCACTCAAGCAGCTTAATGGTGCCATAGGTGCAGAATGATCCAAAAGGGACAGTCACTAGCGGGCCAGGATTCCCCTAGGGGTTGGGGCAAAACCAGGCTTAGGTCCTGAGACTTGTGACTCTCTACCCAGTGTTCATCCAGCCACACTGAGGGTACCAGCGTTAGAGGCAGGCATTCAGGGACCCACATTTAATGGGTTCCTTCCCACCAGGGAGTATCTATAGAAATGTGGTGTCCCAACCATGCTGAGCCTCAGGGGGCCTCCAGCTTCAGCTTTAAAAAGAGAAGGCCTGGCTGTTACTCCCCACCCCACGGCTTACCCCAGGGCAGGTGCTGGGCACTCACCCACTAGAACATTCTTGCAGGCCGGGGTGGTGCTAGGAGGGGGACAAAATGGTTGTTCTTCCCAGAGGGAGAACAGAGGCAGCCTCCCAGCCTGACGGGGGCTGGGAGGCTTTGCCCTGTAGATGGTCTGATGTGCCCAGGACCCCACAAGAGAGAGGTGACCGCTGCGAGAGGCAGTAGGGAACAGGCCTAGAGCTTCCCATCCTATCACTGGCTCTCAGAGTCCCAGGATCAGGGGAGCATACCGTCCCTTTCTACATCCTCCCATGGTCTCTTCCCCTCAAGCTTTTCTTACAGGAGCCAAAGCAAAAATGTCAGCTAGCAAGTGGCAGCAGGGAGCAGGGCCTCTGAGGCAGGCAAGGCCCCTCGGCTGCCACTCACTCGCTCAGTTGCTGAGCAAACAGGTGAGGCCCTGCAGGGTGTCTTCGCCAGGAGGTGAGCAGGCAGACCTGAGTCTGTGGTCCCTCTCCACCTCAGACTGGAAGCCTGGCAGAGATCTCTGCCTGTTGAGCAGAAGCTGGAAGTCAGGTGGGCAGTGCCTGCTCATCACAGTGGCCCCAGCCCTGGCACAGAAGGAACTGAGGAGCTGCTGTGGGGTCACAGAGGAGTGACCCTGACTCGACCTGAAGGCCAGAAGAGGCTGGGGAGGGGGCAAGAGCACCAGCCAGGCTACAAAGGAAAGGGAGGGAGAAAGAAAACATTAAGAAGGAGGAAAAAGTAAAAAGAAAAAAGAGCAGGCTTCCTAGAAGTCATTGGGAGGTCTCTGGCCCCCACAGTCCTGCTCAGCTGTGGAGTATGGAATCCCGTGGAGTCTGGCCTCTGATCTTCCTTTGAGGGAAGAATGAGACCTAGATGCTGAGGACACTGCTCAGCCTCTGGCAGGATCCTGGTGATCCTTTTTTGAGGACTTCTGGAGGAACTGGGTATGGGGCACACCCCTGGAATCCCAGCCACATGGGAGGCTGAGGCAGGAGGCCAGCCTGAGCAATTTAGCAAGGACCCTGTCTCAAGATAAAAAGGGCTGGGGATGTAGCTCAACGATAAAGTGCCGCTGGGTTCATCCCTAGGCTCCATGCCTGGTATGGGGGTGGAGGGGCTTCTGGAGGAATGGTGGAGAAGGACCTGAGGGTGGCCTAAGGGTCTTCCCTCAGGTCCAGCTCTATGTGTCCCATACCCAGTAGCACCTTCCCATCCTCTACCTACTGGGCCTCTGGGGACACCACCAAGAGGCCCCAGGCCTTCACGCATTGCTCCGAGCCTGTTAATCTGGAAGGGTACCGTGTCTCCCAGTTCCTTTACAGGCCAACCCTGTAAGGACAGAAAAAGACTCCAGTTACCCGCTTTTTACCAATGGGGAAACTGAGACCTTCCCCCCACAGTTAGGTCACTTACAAAAAGTCTCATAGCAAACTTGAATCACTTTGAACCTAAGATGTCTCACTTTGCCAATTACTGTCACCTTGGGCTGGGGCAGGCCAGTTGGTTTGGAGCAGAGGAGAGGGATGTCGGGGGAGCCCAGGCTGCAAGACTTACTAGGCAGGAAGCATCCAGCTCAGTCCAGGGGCCTGGCTCAGAGGCTGGGACTCCAGTGGCTGGACAGCACCATTGTTGGGTGGGTGCCTCCAGCCCAGACCCTACATGCTCCTCACACCACCATTCACTTCCAGCCCAAGACAGTGGGCAGATGAGAGGGTCCTGGATGTCTGTGGGAAGGAACATAATGGCCTTGAGCTTTCTCTCCTTTGGAGCCATGGTTCACATCTGGGTCCTGACTCCTGAGTACTCTGCCCCCCTCACCTCAATGCCTCTCTGACCAGAGTAGCAAGCAGAGCTGTTGAAGGAGGGCTCCAGCATCCACCTGGGCGGTGGGTACCTTGAATTGTTTCTGAAGCTCCCCACCTGGTACCCATTCACTTGATGCTCTTTGACCCTCCAGGGCAAAGGACAGAAACTGCAAATTTAAAGATCCTGGAGATGTCTTTCTCATTTTCCTCTTCTCAAGGGAGAAGAATGCTGAAGGAGAGAACCTAGGGCTGGGGCATGGAGTGGTGAGGCGCGCTGGAGGGAGGATGGGGGCCAAGGCTGAACAACCCACCTCAGTTCTACCAGCCTACAGTGAGGCCTGAGCAGGGGATCCGGAGGGCCAGGGTTGACAGAGAAGTACCTCGACAGCAGGTCCTATGCCCACCTACGGCTGCCTCTGCCCCAAGTGGGGACATCAGGCTCTCCCAGACAGGTCTTGATGGCCCCATTGACTTTGGGCTGTTGCTCCCACCAGCCATGGCTGGTGTTCTTTGGCTGCTTCAAGCACCAATCACTAGCTGGCTGTGCCTGTTAACCTGTGGGGCTTACATCCTGGCTGTACCTGCCTCTGAGGGCAATTCTTCCTCAGCAAGTGGTATTGAGGCCTTACTAACTGATAACAACTGGGGTTCAGGTGCTGAGCCAGACACCAGGTTGCCCTGGAGGTGCTTGAAGTCAATTTGTTTGTGGTGCCTGGGGAGATGTTGGGGACAGGCCTATAAACAAACAGGTATTGTCAACTCTTACAACTTGAGAGCCCAAGGACAGGAGGAGGGGTCAGTTTCCAGTGAGTTCCAGCTCAGGGAGAGGGAAGGGGAGGGGGATCCAGGTCACATAGAGAATCCTGGAATACTTGCCCTGGAAGAGACATAGGAAGCAAAATCCAACCTTCTGATTTTGTGGATGGGGAAACAGAGGCCCAGACTATGACAGTGGACTTGGCCAGGGTCCCTTGGTGAGGTAGTGGCAGGCTCTCAAACCCCTGGTCCTCAACCAGGGCCCTTTTGATGGTACCAGGTGCCCTTTCTGGTTTTCTGTATCCTGATCCTCGTGTTCTAAATCTACTTTTGGAAAAAAAAAATTAAAAATTAAAAACTTTTGGCATCTCTACCTGGCAGTCAGCCAAGAGGTGCCCAGTGGCCTGGGGAGCCGGGCGCTACTAGTCCTCCCTCCAGAGGCAGCATGGCCTCTTCTCAGGCCTAGTGTGGGGTGGTTGCGTTTTTCTCTCTCTCTCTCTATCTCTCTTGCATTTTTGTGAATCTAATGATGAACTTATGCTACCACACTTTTCCCTTCTCTTACACACCTTACCTACTAAAGGAGGAAGTGCCACTTTATTGGTAAGTGGACGTTAACCAAGAGGGACTTAAAAATCAGAACTTAAAAAAAAAAAAAAAGAAAAGAAAAAAGAAAAAGAAAAGAGAGAAACAGAAAGACAGTCGGGTGCTACTGACAGCTCCAGAGCTCTCTGCAGGGCCGGAAAACAAAGAAAGAAAAATATTAACAGAAAACTGTCAGGTTCCCCAGGAGATCATTGGTTTTGAGTTTGGTATCTAATGACATTTGTGGATTTTTGGTTTTTTGGTTTGTTTTTTTTTTCTGTTTTCCTCCCTTTCTTCGGTTCAGTTTTGAGTTCAGTTGTCCCTCCCCGCCCCTCCCCCATCTGTGTGCCGTGTGACCCCCTCCATCTCCTTTGCCCACCCCCTTGCGCTGGGGGGCCTGGCCTGGTGGGCTGGCCCTGGCCCGGCCTCCCGGTGCCGCCCTCTCTCTTCTCTCTGCCGGGAATCGTCCGTCCCCTGCGGGGTCAATGCCAGCCCCGGTGCCCGTCCTAGAGCCCCCTCCCCTGCAGCCCCACCCCCACCGCTCCGTCCCTCTTGTGTTTTGCATGCCGAGAATCCTGCATGAGCTGCACTGTTAAGGCCAGAAGGTGGACACTCAGAGAGGCAGAGGCAGGGCAGGCGCGGGGAACCGTGTGTGCGATGCTCCGGGACTGGCAGCCCTCGCCCGGGCCCGGTGACAGCCCTCTCTCCTTTTCTCCCCCCACCCCACCCGCCCGCTCTCTCACCCTCGACCTCTCGCTCTCTCGCTGGCTCTGTCCTCTTCGCCTGTTTCTCATTCTTCCTCTAACTTCCCCCTGGCACTGTCCCTGTCTCTCACCTACCTCTCTCTCTCTCTGTCTCTCTGTCTCTCTCTTCCTCTCCTCTCCATTCTCCACCTCGCTCCGCTCTGTCTCCCCGGCCCGTCCCTCCCGTCTGGCTCTGTCCGTCGCCCTCTCCGCCCCTCCGTGCCCTCTCTGCCTCTCTCCCCTCAGAAGCCCAGCTCGCCCTCGCCCAGGGCCCGCG